TTTTTTTTTTTTTTTTGCATTAAACGTGTAAAACGTACTTCTCGCATTCAGCGCAAATTCTGTTCACAGTATCAAATTTGTATGTTTAGTTTAAAAAGAATCCGCAAAAAAGAATCTATACGTTCATTAAAGAAGGGCAGATTGTTATCATTTTAATCGGCTTTCATCTTTCTGCTCGTACGCTTTACACTTCGTCACCTTTCAATAAACCTTTCATGAGCATAATAAAACTCGTTCGTTTTCTTTTTTAAATTCTTGAACAATGCTAAGCAAAGCAAAATATTTTCATAACTTTTCTGCCTTAGCTGCAAATTTTAAATTCTGGAAAATGTAGATCAAAATTTGATTTCGGACGTATTTGATTTTCATTTAAATACAATTTGAATGTTCAAGTTTCAGTGCTGCAAGAACAAAGTAGAACAAATCTCTCATTTTTTTTTTGAATTTTACTTTAAATCGAGCAAATTTGTATAAAGTGATGATTTTTGTGATTGATTTTAAAATGAGGGTAGAGCCTAAATTATTGAGCATTTCTACTAGTATTTGAGAGTTAAATCTGAGCTGAATGAATTGCTAATTGGCCTACCCGAACTGACCTCTTAATTCATAGAAGTGAGTAAAGAATTCAGTTTTAATTAAATTCCTATTACAATTCTTTATTTGCAACAATATCACTTTCTGGTAAAAGGCTGTCCATCACAACTGACCACTTCACTGTCAACGTATGATCCATTTGTCTATGTGGGAATCACACATGCATATTGATGTTTTCTTTACAATTCAATCCAACATTCATTATCCATTTTCTATCCCGCCTCAACCTTTTACTTACTTTGATTACGCGTCATTCAATGGAAATTTTAATTTTTTCTTTCCACTTTTCAGTATACTTTTATATGCAAATGTGAATGCTTGTCTACAAATTTATTATTTGCACAGCTTTAACGAAAAAGTTAATCTTGTCGAGCAACGAATGAATGAATGAATACTTTTGTTTGTGATCTTAACATTATCTCTGAAATTTCCATCTCAGCAGAAGCAGCCCTAACAAAAGATAGAGTTGCAATTAATGAGCAAATAAAGTCAAAGGTCGTGTTTTTGTTCTTTCTTTTAATAGATTGATAGTGTAGATTATTTATGCTTAATTTACTTTTGCTATAATGTAAGTTGCATTTTCATGCTGCGTAGAATTGGGCTCAGAAACTCACTAGAACCAGGTGCTGTCTTCACAGGTGGTCTGCCCTGGTCTGGAAAAATCATCCTAATTTACTGTTTTCTCAATTGTAACTGTTGCTGAAACAACAGCAACAAAATGTAATTTGAGCTATATCTGCTTGCTTCTATTTTGCAGTCTTAATATCTCAGACTTGGTAATTAAACTTATTTTTGAGTGACCTATGAGCAGGACAGATCTAGTCGGAGCAATAGCAGTATTGTTATTGTCCATATTTGAGCTCTTCATTTTGTCCGCTGTTAATGCTGAAAATATCTAAAACTAAACTTTTCCTCAAATCTTTATAACAACTTCTAAGTTATGTCTTTGCTGTTAATGTAAACATTTGATCCATCCCTCGGAATACTCTATTTTCACCAGATCACCTTTTAGTCAAAGTCTTTATATAAATTTATTTCATCTTTGCAGTCTGTTCTAAAAATAAAGTAAACATTGAATGCATCAGTTTCATTCAAATTTTTTTAAAATAAATTATCACTCTAATTTTAGTATTTGTGCATAAAATGATGTTATTAAATTTATTTTACCTTTCCACTAGACTATTTTGATTATTGACACTTTTCCTGATAATTTTGATAAATATACGGTAGTGGCAGTGGTCAGCATCATTCACCAGTTGTCAGTATTTGTCACATTTTCACGTGCTACTTTAAAAATTTATTTTACGAATTTTTAACTCACTAATTTTTCACAGTATCGTAAGACTGAAATCTAATTAAAACTCGCATTAACTTCTTTCTTATCATTTTATCACCTGAACATTTTCTGCAATCTGTTATTAATAATGTTTTTTTATATTACATTCAAAACTTATTCAGATGTAAACTGATGGAAATTGGCTTATTCAAATGTTTTTAGGAAGCTAATACTCTGTCCATCATAAAATTAACTCATTTTTTGTAACAAAATTATCTCAAATACGCTCAATTATTCAACGGTTTTAAGTTTTTCATTACTTTTTATTTTTCAGATTGAGCATTTTGATTAACGATCTTCGTCTTGCTATCAACATACTGTGATGTATTAAAGATATTTTGCGAAATTGCTAGTCGAAAGTTTTTTGCCTTGTCCACCAAATTTATTCACTGAGATTCATTACAATGGATATTTATTGCTTTTCATATGTTCTACTGCTACTTGCATCAGTTCATGTGTACTCTTTGGACGCAATTCAGCGATGTGAAATTATTACTATACCGCTTTGTAAAGGTAAGTTGAATAGTTGTTCATCAGTATAGAAGTTTATCTCATTCTTAATCGAATTCTAAAAATATCTGTGCATTTTATTCAATGAATTTGCAGACTTTTCAAGTTCAGAGCTGAATTCTACGATAACTTCGGTACTTTTCTGAAGTGGCCTTTTAAATAGGTCATAAATCAGCTCTATTGTTTTACCGCAATATATTTCTTGTATGAAATTAATTTATATGAAAATTAAGGATTGATGTTTACAGGTATAGGCTATAACATGACGAGGTATCCTAACAGCTATGGACACGAAAAGCAAGAGGAAGCTGGACTAGAAGTTCACCAGTTTTATCCACTTGTTGAAGTGAATTTCTTCTCGTAAAGTCATTTGCAACTTTTGAAAGTCGAAATGATTCTATTTAAGAAGAATGAAATTGACATTGAAAATATATTTGGAATGTTTGAAGTCACTGCTGACAATATAAATTTCTATATTACTTGAAAGATAGAATGTAATCGCATCAGATGTTTAATTATTCTTTAATTATTCTCCCATAAAAATTGAATACTTATACAAAAAGAAAATAAAACTGTAAATTTTGAAAATTTTCAGGTTGGCTGTTACAAACATCTTAAATTTTTCCTTTGTGCAATGTATACTCCAATATGCCAAGATAATTACGAAAAAATGGTGATGCCTTGCATGGAAGTAAGTTTTCTGTTCGTCAGTTCTTGTTTGAAGATGTTTGCCTGCGATTAATTTCATTACAAGAAATTAATTTCGGAAAATTTCATGTTTGGATTGAGCGATGATAAAAATAATTTTTGTTGCATTACTTAAACATTTTGATCAGTAATACAACGAAATGGAAAAAATTTTTCCAGATTTTCCTAGTATTGAAGTTGAAAAATTAAGCAAAATATTACATTATAAAAATGAAAAAAATTCAAACCTAATCTTCCCATCATTATGTAAAATGAATTATTAATTGTTAAAGCAAGTAAATATTGTAATTATTTTGTTCAAAATTTTTTTTTCAGGATCGTTACAGTGTGTAGTGACTGTAATTATTTGTTTTCGTTGAAATTTTCCCATATAATAAAATAGTCTTAATTTTATTATTTTCATAAATATTTATCCTTGCACATATGACATACAATTTTAAGGTTTGCCTGGAAGCCAAGAAACGTTGTAGTCCATTAATGCAACAATATGGCTTTAAATGGCCAAATACCCTTAGTTGCGACCAGTTGCCAAGGATGAGTGAGCAGCAAACTTCGGGAAATATCTGCGCGGCCCCTCCAGATACGCCTCACCCGAATCTTTTTGAACCCACTAATGTAAGCAAATTCTAATCATTTAGCCAATCTTTAATCTTGGAAGATTAGATCAAAGGAACAGATCAGATTACTTACTTTACTTCAACTCTTATATTTCATTCCAGCAGCAAATCCTTCCTGCTGTTATTTTATTAAGAAATTGTTTCGTTGTAGATCAAATTCTTTAAATTGCAAAAATAAAATATTTGTGACCTAACTTTTTATTATAATTTTTCGACAAAATCATTCTTAAGCAAAGATTAAATTTCCGCCAGTTTGCCCTCCAAAAATTTGTTCTTTTATGAGAAGTTCTTCCTTCTCTTTAGAAACAATTTCGCATGGAAAAGAAAAGTTTTCTGCAAAT